GGCTCCGTAGCCATTTTGGCTCAAGTCGGATGAACGGTACTGTGTACCTAGATTCCGACTGAGGGCCAAAACGGCCCTCGTAACGTAGGAGGAGGAGGAGGAGGAGGACGAGGAGGAGGAGGAGGAGGAGGAGGAGGAGGAGGAGGAGGGAGGGACGGAGGGAAGGAGGAGGGAGGAAGGAGGAGGGAGGGTGGGAGGAGGAGGGAGGAGGAGGGAGGAGGAGGAGGGAGGAGGGGGAGGAGGGGGAGAGAGGAGGAGGAAGGAGGAGGAGGAGGAGGAGGAGGAGGAGGAGGAGGAGGTGGAGGAGGAGGAGGAGGAGAAGGAGGAGGAGGAGGAGGAGGAGGAGGGAGGAGGAGAAGGGGAGGGAGGGAGGAGGGAGGGAGGGAGGGAGGGAGGAGGGAGGGCGGGAGGGAGGGAGGAGGGAGGGAGGAGGAGGGAGGAGGAGGAGGAGGAAGGAAGGAAGGGAAGGAGGAAGAGGAGGAGGAGGAAGGAGGAGGGAGGAGGAGGGAGGAGGGAGGAGGAGGAGGGAGGGAGGAGGGAGGGGGAGGGAGGGGGAGGGAGGAGGGAGGAGGGAGGAGGAGGGAGGAGGGAGGAGGGGAGGAGGAGGAGGAGGAGGGGAGGAGGAGGAGGAGGATGAGGGGTGGGGAGGAGGAGGAGGAGGAGGAGGAGGAGGAGGAGGCGGGAGGAAGAGGATGGAGGAGGAGGGGAGGAGGAGGAGGAGGAGGAGGAGGAGGAGGAGGGAGGAAGCACTCCCCCTCCTGCTCATCCTCTCCTCCCTCACCCTCCTCCTGTCGGGGGGCAAAAGTGGGGTAGAAAGTGGGGTAGGGGCACCAGGGTAGGGTTGGAGGGGCAATCGCTCCGGACGGCCCCTGGAAGGAAAGAACGAACGCGTCGGGATCATCCGGCTGGGTAGACCGGGGGTCCTCCTCCTGCTCTTTTTACGGTCGGCAAACTTGAGCTTCCTCCTCCTTCTGCTCCTCCTCCTCCTCCACCTTTCTGTACGTTAAACCAACCTTGGGGGGTCCTGTAGCGTTCTGCCTCCTCCTCCTCCTCCTCCCTCCTCCCTCACCCTCCTCATCCTCCTCCTCCTCCGCCTCCTCCTCCTCTCCTCCCTCCTCCCTCCTCATCCTCCTCCTCCTACTCTCCCTCCTCCTCCTCCTCCTCCTCCTCCTCCTCCTCCTCCTCCTCCTCCTCCTCTCTCCTCCTCCTCCCTCGCCTCCCTCCTCCTCCCCTATCCTCCTCCTCCTCCTCCTCCCCTCGCTCCTCCTCCCCTCCTCCTCCTCCTCCTCCTCCTCCTCCTCTCCTCCTCCTCCTCCCTCCTCCTCCTCCTCCTCCTCCCCTACCTCCTCCTCCCTCCTCCTCCTCCTCCCCCTCCTCCTCCACCTCCTCCTCCGCCTCCTCCCCTCCCTGGCCCAGAGGCTCCCAGCCCCACCTTGGGATAACCCTCCCTCTACGAACCCCCGGTCCTGGGAGGCACTGGCGGCACTGCTGTTGCACTGGTAGTGGTATTGGTGGTAGTACTGGTGGTGCAGCGGTGCTGTACTGATGGCGCACCGGCAGTGGCACTGGTGGTGCTTATAATTAGTGGCGTGCTGCCAGCGTGCTGGTCGTATGATCTTGCCTTCCTCCTGGAAAGGGGTGAGAGGGACAGTGTATGTTCTTGTGGGCCTGATCTGCCTCTGCCAGGTGGGGGGGGGACGCTGCTGCTGGCCACAACGACCACGAGTGCCACAGCAACGGCACTGATGATAGAGCTGATGAGGAAAAGAAGGGAGATGACGACTGGAACTGCGGAGACAGCGAAGAAGGCAGACGTAGCTTGGGGGATGCCCGTATTGACTACAAGGATCCCGCAAGAGAGGCTATGACGCTCACGTCCGACTAGCATGTGGGACGCTTCCGTGGTTGCAGAGAAGGAGAGAGTAGAAGGAGGAGGAGGAGGAGAAAGCAGGAGGAGCGGGGCTCGAAGACGCTCGACACCCTGAGCCTCGTCGCTTCGTCCTCTGCTCCTGGGGAGGGTTGTCCCAAGAGAACGGCCAGGATGAAAGACCCCCTGTCCTGGCCCCATCCTGGTAGTAGGCGGCCTTGGGACTAGTGGATCCGTCAGGCGGCCTGCTCCTTGCGCAGACTCTCCCGTCCGACACCACGCGTGTTTTCCTTGCGCGGGCCGCTGGGGGGCTCGACTTCTAATCACGGGCGGCTTTTTCATCCCGGTTGGTCTCTAGACTTGTGGATGCCACGACAATGGACACCCTAACAATCCGATCATTGAATTTAACATGTGTTTTGAATGTCGGAAACATGTTCTAAACATGGTTTGAACATGCTTGTTACATGTTGAAAACATGTTTGGCATATGGTTTCGACATCTGGAAAGTATGTGGCAACATGCTTCCTCTCCATTGATCGTCCTCCACAACTCTAGACGGCCCCCGTGGCCCGAAGCAGACCGCCAGGGGTCCAAAGGCAGTGACATACTTCTCCTGGCAGCGGGACCCCCAACACCGACGCTGCACGAGAAGACCTGTGGTGGGGCGCCACTGATGTGCGCGCGTAGGCCACGGCACGCGGGCACGGCATGGCACGCGGGCACGGCAGGCACGGCACGCCACGGCTCGCGGGTGGCACCTCTTCTGCCACTCGCGAGCCAGGCACGGCACAGGCACGGGCACGGCACGCGCACGGCACGGGCACGGCACGCCAAGGCAACCCCGGGCAGCACACATCTCCCGCACTCTGGCACACGGGTGCGGCAGCGGCCGCGGACACAGCACGCTACGGCACGCGGGCGCACATCTTTTCGCAACCTAGAGCACGGCACGGCACGGCACGGCACGGCACGCGGGAGGCACACGCCACGTGCTCTGCGGCGCGGGCGCGGCACGGCATGCGGGCGGCACACGTGTCGCATCTTCGAGCGCGTGCACGGCAAAAGGCGCACGGGCACGGCACGCGGGCACGGCACGCGGCGCGGCACCGCGCGGCACGCGGGCGGCACTTCTCCCCGCGCTCTAGAGGAGCCCGGAACCCAGCTCTTCGAGAACCGGGGCCCTACGCACAGCACGACGCACGGGGAAGGCACCGCACCTCTCTCGCAGACCACCCCCAGGCACCGCTCGGCGCGCGGGAACGGCACAGCACGGCACAGCACGGCACGGCAGCATTGCCGCAGTCTGGATCCCAGACACGGCCCGGCGCGACCCGGCACGACGCGCGGGTGCGGCATGGCACGACGCGGCACAGCGAGAGACGGCCCGGCACGCCACGGGCACGGCAGGGGCACGCAGGCGGCAGCCTCTTCGCAGCCTGAGGCCGAGAAACGCCCTCTCCAGGGTACTTCGGATCACTTACAGCATCTGCTGTTGAATATATATATATATATACATTATATTATATATATAAAGACCGTCTCTGTTTCCCGCGACGCCGGGACCCCCAAGACATACGGGCTCCAACAGATCCCGACCCCTGCCCCAGGACCAGCTCTTCACCCCAGATCGGATCTTGACTGTCCCAAAACGCTTTTACACCTCGATGCGACGACAACGATAGAGAGAGAGAGAGGAAGAGGCAGCGGAATACGTCCGCAGATCGGCCTGCCGCCCCAGCCCCAAATGGCGCGTCCTCACAGGAAGCGGCGACGACGACGGCGACGGCGGCGACGGCAGCGCTGGCGGCGACGGCGGCAGCGGCGGCGGCGGCAGCGACAGCGACGGCGGCAGCGGCGACGGCGACGGCCGCGGCGACGACGACGACATCGGCGGCGGTGGCATCGGCGGCGACGGCCGCGACGGCCGAGGGGTGCGCGTCCTCCCGCGGTGCCACGAACCGGCCCCTCGACCGCGGGAGCCGCACGCCGCCGCGTGCAAAGCGAGGGCGGGCCTCCGGTGCTGGGCAGGGGCCGTCGTCGCCGCCGCCGCGGTCGTTGCCGCCGCCGTCGCCGTGGTCGTCGTCGCCTTGGTGGCCGCCGTGGCCTGCCGCCGAATGGCGCACTGCCGTTGTGGATGCCACGACAGTGGACACCCTAACAGTCCTATCATTGAATCTAGCATGTGTTGAACATGTAGGTACAATGGTCTAAACATGTTGAACACATGTTTAGACATCTGGTAATTATTTGGGAACTCCTCTCCATTGATCGTCCTCCACGACACTGCCTGCCGTACGTGCGGCGCTGAAGGCCTGCCCACCGTCCGAACACAGCTGTAGTGTATGGCACTATGCTGTGCCAAGGCCCCTGCGCCCGCTCAGGTGAGCTGTTCTTCTGAGCGGCTGAGACCCAAGCTGTAGAGGCGAATTTCTTAAATTTCTTAAGACACAATGGCAAAGGACATGAACCGCGTCATATTGCATGAGTCGTGCTCGCTATGACCGTGTGCCTCCTGTTCTGGATACAGCGAAGTATCTTGATGTACGGAAGCACATCAGAAAACAATAATTTCCTGACGGTATCATGGACCCAACCGCGCAGATTGCATATTGCAATGCACGAGTAGAAACAGCTTCGCGTATCAATCCACGAAGGACCGAATCATTATGGCATAACGCAGCCTCAAGTCAAAACATGTAGTAGTGAGTGCGTTGTGACCTAGCTTGTTAGCTGCCGCGCGTGATATTCGCGTATACACAAACGTAGTGTCTGGCACGGTTGGATACAGTGAAGCGGAAGCAATGAAACGAGCTTGTCACGTGAAATACCAGCGAAACAGCTCGATACCTCTGTCTATTGCACGACCACGTGAGCATCAACAAATTGTCACGCGTTCTTTGCCGTTTTTCTCAGCGTGATCACGATTTGAAGGAACAGATGTACCATTCAGCAAACTGGCTTGCTGCGGCCTTAAACTCCGTTTCGTTTCGCACCTGAAGACACGATACATACAGAGATACGTACCACATGTGTGCGCAATCATTCGCCGGTGGTTTGTTTCCACGTGATGGCATGAAGAAGTCGGGCTCCTAGTGGGCCTTCTTGTTGAGGTCATTCGACACCTGGGGTGGGGCCGTCGTGGCAAACAATGACTCCAACTTCCGAGACAAGTCGCGTTGGTGTCTGGGAGGGGCGGAACGGTCGATCCTGATTGGAATCTGGCTGGCATCGGCGGTTCAAGTGGCGACTGCAACCCTGGTCATGCAAACGACAAGGCAGAGTCCCGATGGCGTTTGTGAACAGCGCTGGCGAGCAAACGCGAGATTGTGCACACTACCTGGACCTAGGCAATAACCGACACCGAAGATATTGACGCAAGTGGACGCGGATGGGTCGCCGCCAACAGAAAATTCAGCCGACACTTAAGAGAGCCAAGCGCTGCCAACACATTTTTCTGCGCATCGACGTGATGCACGGCTACACGTGTCTTGCTGAGAGACAGAGAGGGGGAGAGAGAAAGACAGAGACACACATCTATAGATTTACATGTATGCATACGTCTGTCTATATCATATACACGTATGTCGGGCGCGACGTCTCGATGTCGGCAGCATCTGGAGATGTGCGAATCGGCATCCCGAAGGTTTCCAGCCCCTCCAGTGCCCTCCAGTGCCCCTCCAGGGCCCCGCTACCTAAAACGCCTTCCCTGGGACGAAGATGATGGAGCTCGGCCGAGAGTCGCCCCAGCGCCCATGTAGAACGAGAGAGAGAGAGAACAAAAAAAAAAAAAGAGTAGGGAGAAAGAGGGATAGAGAGAGGCGGAGGATAAGCTAGATGTGTTCGCGCCATACCTGACGTCCTGCCCCTCCAACCTATCCTTCCCCATTGCGCTGAATCCTTTCCTGTTCTGGTTTGCACCGCGCAGCTAGTTACCATGGCATCGTTTGCACCACATTGTTTGCACCCCATACACTGCACCCCTGAGCTTAACCATACATACATATGCACACGTACGTGCAAATGTATGTTGCACAATCTAGCTTACACAACATAGCTTACAACACTATCTTGCACCACATAGGTTCACCGAGAGTGCAAACACATGCTGATTAAGATCCACGCTGACAAACGCATAAACATAGCACATGTGGAAATCCTGCATGTGGAAAGGCATACGGCATACGCAGGAGAGGCGGCAAGACAACTGGACAGCATCGGGGAATAGAGGAGAGCAGCACCAAGGTCGCCATGCTGTAAGAAAGAAGCAGAGGCCAAAGCAGGGAGAGAGAGCGAGAGGGCGAGAAAAAGGGGAAGCGCATGTGCTCGAAAATCTGCCGGGGCTCAGGCCACCGATCCGAAAAATGCCTGGCGCCGCGGACCTCCGACGACTCCACCACCCCTGCCGAAGCCCGCCAGCCCCTGGGCCTCCCGACCCCCCCCCCCCCTGGACCAAGCCTCCCAGGTCCAGCAACTTTCTGGACGGCCCCTCTGCGAGGCGGAGGTTTATCCATGCCTATGTCCACCGCCTGGGAACTGACGTCCTGGTGCCCCAGCGGGCGGTGGATATGGATATAGTTTGGCCCCTGGGAGCCCGAAAATATCCGTATCCACCGCCTGCCGAGGTACCCGAAAATTGATCCTCCAGCCGGTGGTCATGTATAAACTCCCGCCTCGGACCCTCGGCCGAGAATCGGCCCCTGGATGCCGAAGCTGCGACTCGCAATTTTCTCGGCCCGGACCCGCTCTGGATCAGGGGCCTGGGGATCAGCCCTGATGCGGATCCACATCCGCAGGATCCAATCCGGAGGTTCTGTTGCTCCCATCGTACGTAAGGACCACATCTCAGAAATAATTTCGAGCACCCAGAAGAGTGTCGACACAGTGTCGAACGAGTATCGCCTCCCAGGGGCCGACACGTGAACACCCTCAAATGTCGGTATACTTTCTCTTGGTGCTCGAAGCTCTTCCTGGTGGTCATGGCCACAGCAGGCTGGAACAACGTGATCCGGGGCAGCAGGATCCAGACCCGAGCCGCGGATCGCGGTCCTCTGTGGTTGCAGAAGACCTCTGGGGCGATTGTGTGCGACGCCCAAAGCCTGAGGCCCGCGTTCCGCAAGCCAGCGGCGGCAGTCTGCCGGCCACTGGCAACGGCTCGCGCAGCCCTGCTCCCGTCGCACTAAGAGCGCCGGGTTCGCGCTGCTGCACCAGCCCGACTAGAGAGCCAGTTGCCCACCCCACCCCCAGGCCTCGTGCTCCTCTCCAAACCACCTCCCGCTCCTCCTCCTCCTCCTCCTCCTCCTCCTCCTCCTCCTCCTCCTCCTCCTCCTCCTCCTTCACATAGATCTGGTCGGCGCTCTGGTTTCCCCAGCACATCGGCGCTGGGCCCTCGTTTGGAATGATGCACTGCTGCTCCACTGCTGCTCCTGCTCATCCCGACCCCTCCCTTCTTTCTCCTCCTCCTCCTCCTTTCTCGCTCCTCTTCGCGTCTCCGGCTGCCCCATCTCGCTCCTTGTCGCTCCTGCGTGCTGCCAGGCGCACAACTGTCGCCACTTTGCTGCGCCCATGGGGAGACCAGAGTACGGAGTGACACCCCTGACACAGACTCAAACTGAACCATGCGCAGAACTGCAGCCATTTTGCAGCGCCAATGTGGGATTCCAACGGAATGACGGCCCACGCAGATTCACTCGGAATCTTGTCCTCCCTGGGTGCTGCCGCGAGCGCAGCTGTCGCCAGTTTGCTGCGAATTCTGGGGGGGTAGTCGAGTGCAGCCCCACGCGCCACGCAGACCTAAATAGGAAAGGTGCAACTGTGTACTCAGACTGTTCCGGGGGTGATGGAACATCGAATACGTCAATGGCCTGAAACAACGTGGACGCAGCGGGGCAGCAGGATCATGGGGATGCTCCTTTATCTGAACACGGCGTTTCCTCCTCCTCCTCCTCCTTCTCCTCCTCCTCCTGCTCCTCCTCCTCCTCCTCCTCCTCCTCCTCCTCCCCCTTGTTCCTGCTCGCGCCGTTACTCCCCCTTCTTCCCTTGCGGTCACCCCGCTAGCTACACCTCCTCCAAATCACCATATGGGATGGTTGCCATCCTTCCTCCATGCATCGCCCCACCCGCCGCTCCCTTGGACTCCCGCTCTACTTTTCTGGAGGCCGCCAGGGGCCTCCCAGAGGCCTCCTGTTCGCAAGATTCCAGAGGCCCAAGGGTCGCATAACGAAGAAGTGGTTGTCAGCCTTCTCGGGTCCTGGCCATCGTGGACGGCTTGGCCACCAGCGCGGCGACCAAAGTGGAGGTGGCATTCAGGCTCGGCCGCGGTTGTTCTTTGTTCAAGCAAATTTCGTCGAAGCTGCGTGGCCACATGGAGACGGCCTTGCTCAGAAGCCTTCGGAACGGTTCGCCGAAAGCCACCACGCTGAAGACTCGCGCGGTCGACTTGAAGTCCCTGCTGGAAAGCCGTCCATGATGTCCTGGGAGCTGCACAAGCGTACCGTCGCACACAGGAACGCGTATCGCGGCGTGATTAATTTGGAGACGGCCACGGACAAGGGCCACTTAGGCGCTCTGGCCTATGGCTGTGTCTCGGTGGTCATGCGGAAACGAGTCTGGGAGCGCCAGGCGTCCTTCATCTCAGTCGCGCCACGTTTCCGATTCAGCCATGTTTCGTGGCAGTCGCTTCGCTGGCGGAACACAGCGTCCACGTTGCCGTCACATTCGCGCTCGAAACGCGGCGCCGGCGCTACCTGCGCGGGAGAGCGCAGAACTGCTACAAATATTCCCAGACACGGGGGCAGAACAAATGTGTGCAGAACGCATTCCTGCGAACCCATGATTACGCCCAGGGCTTCCATCAGTGACAAAGCACCATTCCCACCACACCCTTCTCTAGCCAGTGACCAAAAGCCCAACGTTACAGACGTACCAGAACCCCAATTGATGGAGAACTCCGGACGATTTTCCTGAGAGGTGAGACTTTGTGATGGGCAGCTCTACGCCCCCGGGCACTCCTGGCACGTGTGAATGCGAGCCCCTTCGCGCGCCCAAGGGGGGTAGATCACGAGGGCCACGGCCAGGAGTGCCCGAGTGGCCCCTGCCCGTGGCCACCCCGCGTTCACCACGCCGCGACGCGCGCCCTTTGCGTACGGCGGTGTGCCTGCGCAGCTCCGTGGACACTTTGTGGGGAGGCCAACAAAAAGGCACCGATACCCGCTACTCCCAGGACCTCTCCCGGGGTGCGTTCTGACCAGGATGGCGAGGCGAATCCAGCGGTGGCGACGAGGGCCTCCGAAGAGGCCCAGAGAGCGGAAAACGGGCGAGGGGGTAGAGTTGTGGATGCCATGACAATGGGCACTCTAACAGTCCTATCATCAAATTTACAGTGTGTTGAACATGTCGGAGAAATATTCTAAACATGTTTCAAACATGAGGTTTACATGTTTAAAACATGTTTGAAACATGCTTTAGACGTCTGGAACTTATTGGGAAGCATGCCTCCTCTCCATGAATCGACTTCCACAGGGGTCGAGGTATGGGTGCCTGTTCCTCCTCTGCGTTTGGACAGGTTTCCAGCGGGGACTCCATGTCGACCGCGCGAACCTGCAGCGCGGCGCTCTCTCGGGGAGCCGTGCGCTCACCGCCGCCCGTCGCCGCCCGTCGCCGCCAGGTCCAAGTGGCGGCCCCGCCGGCTCGTCGGCGCCCGTCGCTGTGCGTCAATTTGCACTGCTTGCCATGGCTTCCCACTGCTTTAGACTGCTCTGGATTGCTTTACACTGCTCATTGCATCGCCCTGCGTCGCAGCGTGTCGCGTTCCAGCGCGTCGTGTTGCTCTGCAAGCGTCTGCACTCGTGGGCATCGCTTTGCCTCGTTTGGACTGCCTCGCACGGATTTGCACGGCTTTCCTCGGCTGTGAAACACGTCGCATTGCGATGCTTTGCTTTCCATCGCATTGCATTGTATTGCAGTGCTTTGCATAGCATCGCCGTGCACTGCTTCGCATTGGTTTGCATTGATTTGCCATGCTTGTCAATGCTTTGCATTGTTCGCCTTGCATTCCTGTGCATTGTCTTGCACTGCGTCGCATTGCTTGTGGTTGCTCTGCGTTGCATTGAGTTGCTGTGCGTTGCATTGCCCTGCACAACACAGATTGCACCACGTGGATTGCGCCACATGAATTGCACCGCCTACGTTGCACCACACTGAGTGCACCGCATTGGTTCCAAGGCATCACCGTCCGGGGTCCGCGCCGGCTGACGTAAGCTACTTACGTGGCTATGTGGTGCAAGCTATGTCGAGTAAGCTATGTGTTGAAGGCCTGGAAATGGCAACCAACACCAACACGGGGGGGTGCCTCCACAGGGGGAAGCTGATCCTAGATTTCGGTGCTGGTGGCAATATTTCGGCCACCTCGGAAGCCAGAATAGTACCACCATCACCGAGGTCGGAATATTCTTCCCTCGGTGGAGGCACGCCGCCGAAATTGGTGTTGGTGTCAACCTCTAGGCCTGCGATATGTGGTGCAGTCTGTGAGGCGTGAGCTGTGCAGTGGCACCGCCTGCGGGGGGGCGCCCGGGCGGCCACGAGGCGGCCGTGCGGAGGCCGCGGGGTGCCCGCAGGGCGGCCACGAGACGGCCACGAGGCCGCGAGGCGGCGACGAGGCGGCGACGAAGCGGCCACCGGGCGAGAGCCCGGAAACGGCAGCTTCAACCACACAGGCAATGAATCCTAGGTTGAAGGGGCCCTGGGACACACAAATAAACACACACAAACAAAAATATTCCCAATATTCTCCTATGTTTTCTAGGGGTTTTGTCTTCCAACCCACTTCCCAGATTTTCCTGGGAATCGACGATTATTGTGTCTGTGTGTGTTTTTTCCCCTCCTGAACCACACAGGCAAGGAATCCTAGGTGCAAGCGCTGCGCGGGGAAGAGAGAGGCTCGCAGAGGGCCCCCGCCATGCCCCTCCCCAGGAGCCACGACGTCGTCATTGCGGCATGTGGTCTCCTGGGGATCTCGGCCTCGTCCCCGAGATGAGCTCTGCGTCCCGAATCTTTCCTTGGCGTCCCCGGAACCCCGAAAAGGACTCTGGGGGCCGAAGGGCCGAAGATGGTCAAGGATCTCCCGTCACCATTCTCCACGATGCGAAAGAGTCTGGCTGTCGGGTGAAGACTCGATCCTCAGACCTGTGCTGGGGTGCGTTCCAGCCAAACTTGGCAGGGGGGTCCAGCCGTTGCGACGAGGAGCCCCGCAAAGTTCCAGAAGGTAGCACAAAGAACGAAGAACCTCCGTCGTCGAGCCTCGATCCTCATCCTCCATCCTCGTCCTCGATCATCTTCCTCGATCCGCTTCCTCGATCCTCTTCCTCGATCCTCTTCCTCGGTCCTCTTCCTCGATCCTCGATGATCCCCGTCGCCGAACCTCGATTCTCGTCCTCGATCCTCTTCCTCGAGGCGCGCCTCCCCCCAAAAATGCGGCGCGCTGGGAAGGGCCCGGCGAGGGATCCCTGCCAGCAGCCGCGCAAGCGCAGCTCCGCGGCGCGCCACGGGCGCGGCTGCTCAGCTCGGCGCCACGGGCGCGGGCGCGCGCCCCGGGCGCGCCTCTCACGAGGAGCCGCCGGCGGAGCTGGGTGCCTCCGCCTCGCGGATCGTGTTTCGCTCTTGGCCCGTGCGGCGCGCACAGAACATCGGCACATAGCACGCCTCAAGCCAGAACAGAGCATGCACAGAGCGTGCACATTGGTGCGTTTGCATGGAGCCATGGCACGTGCACATAGAGCGTACACTCCATGTGCGTCTTTGCTCGTGCCACGCTTGATGCGTGCCATGTGCACATGGAGGCATTCATACATGGAGCTATGTGTGCACACATTCCTGCATTGGCACACCGCACGCATCAAGCAGCCGAGCGCAGAGGGCACAGCAGGACGGACGGAGGAGGGATGACAGGATAGATAGACAGCGCCTCATGAGGTCTCGTCAGGGCGGATGAACACAAGGCCAGACAATCTCGAGCAGTGGACCGGTGCCCCAGAAGGAGGGGGCAATCGCGTTTTGGGAAAGTGTCGCCGGGGGGGCTCATGGAGTTTTTCTAGTGCAGCGCGCTGCTGCAAGCCAAACTGCAGTTACTGAGGCGTTGGGCTCGCAGCAGGGACGCAGGGACAAACGAGGCCGGTCACGGAGGAGAGTTTCACCTCTGCAACGGGCAAAGGATGGAGAAGGGAGGAGGAGGGAGCAGGGAGAAGAGGATGAGGGAGGAAGGGGGAAGAGGAGGGAGGAGGATGAGGGGGTCTCTCTAGATTGAACTACAGGTTGAGGAAAAAAGACAAACGAACTGATTGTCCTGAAATATTGAAGTCCCTTTTCCATCGACAAACGACGCGACATGAAGAAACATGCCCACCCTTCTTAAATTATGCTAACGGAGTTCCCCACATAAAGAGATTAACGGTTTCGTGGGACCCATTTTCTTGATGCCCTCCTCGCTTTGGCGGGGCCCCGCTGGAAGGGGGGAGGGCTACGAAACCTGGCGAAGAGTAATGCTTTCCGCGGCCCTCCTCGCTCAGGCGGGGCCTCTCTGGAGGGGTGGGAGGGGCACGAAACCATGTAAATAGTATGGTTTTCCGATACCCTCCTCGCTCAGGCGGGGCCTCCCTGGAGGTGTGGGAGGGGCACGAAACCATGTAAATAGTATGGTATTCCGATACCCTCCTCGCTCAGGCGGGGCCTCCCTGGAGGGGTGGGAGGGGCACGAAACCATGTAAATAGTATGGTATTCCGATACCCTCCTCGCTCAGGCGGGGCCTCCCTGGAGGGGTGGGAGGGGCACGAAACCATGTAAATAGTATGGTATTCCGATACCCTCCTCGCTCAGGCGGGGCCTCCCTGGAGGGGTGGGAGGGGCACGAAACCATGTAAATAGTATGGTATTCCGATACCCTCCTCGCTCAGGCGGGGCCTCCCTGGAGGGGTGGGAGGGGCACGAAACCATGTAAATAGTATGTATTCCGATACCCTCCTCGCTCAGGCGGGGCTCCCTGGAGGGGTGGGAGGGGCACGAAACCATGTAAATAGTATGGTATTCCGATACCCTCCTCGCTCAGGCGGGGCCTCCCTGGAGGGGTGGGAGGGGCACGAAACCATGTAAATAGTATGGTATTCCGATACCCTCCTCGCTCAGGCGGGGCCTCCCTGGAGGGGTGGGAGGGGCACGAAACCATGTAAATAGTATGGTATTCCGATACCCTCCTCGCTCAGGCGGGGCCTCCCTGGAGGGGTGGGAGGGGCACGAAACCATGCAAATAGTATGGTATTCCGATACCCTCCTCGCTCAGGCGGGGCCTCCCTGGAGGGGTGGGAGGGGCACGAAACCATGTAAATAGTATGGTATTCCGATACCCTCCTCGCTCAGGCGGGGCCTCCCTGGAGGGGTGGGAGGGGCACGAAACCATGTAAATAGTATGGTATTCCGATACCCTCCTCGCTCAGGCGGGGCCTCCCTGGAGGGGTGGGAGGGGCACGAAACCATGTAAATAGTATGGTATTCCGATACCCTCCTCGCTCAGGCGGGGCCTCCCTGGAGGGGTGGGAGGGGCACGAAACCATGTAAATAGTATGGGATACCCTCCTCGCTCAGGCGGGGCCTCCCTGGAGGGGTGGGAGGGCACGAAACCATGTAAATAGTATGGTATTCCGATACCCTCCTCGCTCAGGCGGGGCCTCCCTGGAGGGGTGGGAGGGGCACGAAACCATGCAAATAGTATGGTATTCCGATACCCTCCTCGCTCAGGCGGGGCCTCCCTGGAGGGGTGGGAGGGGCACGAAACCATGTAAATAGTATGGTATTCCGATACCCTCCTCGCTCAGGCGGGGCCTCCCTGGAGGTGTGGGAGGGGCACGGAACCATGTAAATAGTATGGTATTCCGATACCCTCCTCGCTCAGGCGGGGCCTCCCTGGAGGGGTGGGAGGGGTGGTATGGTATGCTATGGTATGGTATGGTATGGTATGGTATGGTATGGTATGGTATGTGTGGTAGGAACTATGGTATGGTATGGTGTGTGTGGTAGGAATAATCTTGTGCTGTATGGAAGATGGAGCGCGAGGTGGGTGGGAAGGAGAGGGTGTTCTGGGAAAACAAGAACCCCACTCAGGATGTGGGGAAAAACGACAAACAAACTCGCATTCCGACGTGAATTATTCCCCACATCCTGAGTGGGGTTCTTGTTTTCCCAGAACAACCTCTCCTTCCCACCCACCTCCCGCTCCATCTTCCATACAGCACAATATTATTCCTACCACACACACCATACCATACCATAGTTCCTGCCACACATACCATACCATACCATACCATACCATACCACACCATACGTACCATACCGTACCATACCATACCATGGCGCACCATAGCATACCATACCATATCACACCAATGCCACACCGTACCATACCATACCATACCCCCAGTACCATACCATATCATATCATACCATACCGTACCATACCATACCTACCATACCATTCCATACCACTCCATACCGAAAACCATACTACTTACATGGTTTCGTGCCCCTCCCACCCCTCCAGGGAGGCCCCGCCTGAGCGAGGAGGGTATCGGAATACCATACTATTTACATGGTTTCGTGCCCCTCCCACCCCTCCAGGGAGGCCCCGCCTGAGCGAGGAGGGTATCGGAATACCATACTATTTACATGGTTTCGTGCCCCTCCCACCCCTCCAGGGAGGCCCCGCCTGAGCGAGGAGGGTATCGGAATACCATACTATTTACATGGTTTCGTGCCCCTCCCACCCCTCCAGGGAGGCCCCGCCTGAGCGAGGAGGGTATCGGAATACCATACTATTTACATGGTTTCGTGCCCCTCCCACCCCTCCAGGGAGGCCCCGCCTGAGCGAGGAGGGTATCGGAATACCATACTATTTACATGGTTTCGTGCCCCTCCCACCCCTCCAGGGAGGCCCCGCCTGAGCGAGGAGGGTATCCGAAAACCATATTATTTACATGGTTTCGTGCCCCTCCCACCCCTCCAGGGAGGCCCCGCCTGAGCGAGGAGGGTATCGGAATACCATACTATTTACATGGTTTCGTGCCCCTCCCACACCTCCAGGGAGGCCCCGCCTGAGCGAGGAGGGTATCGGAATACCATACTATTTACATGGTTTCGTGCCCCTCCCACATCTCCAGGGAGGCCCCGCCTGAGCGAGGAGGGTATCGGAATACCATACTATTTACATGGTTTCGTGCCCCTCCCACCCCTCCAGGGAGGCCCCGCCTGAGCGAGGAGGGTATCGGAAAACCATACTATTTACATGGTTTCGTGCCCCTCCCACCCTTCCAGGGAGGCCCCGCCTGAGCGAGGAGGGTATCCGAAAACCATACTATTTACATGGTTTCGTGCCCCTCCCACCCCTCCAGGGAGGCCCCGCCTGAGCGAGGAGGGTATCCGAAAACCATACTATTTACATGGTTTCGTGCCCCTCCCACCCCTCCAGGGAGGCCCCGCCTGAGCGAGGAGGGTATCCGAAAACCATACTATTTACATGGTTTCGTGTCCCCCCTCCACTCCTCCAGAGAGGCCGCGCTTGAACGAGGAGGGTCGCGGAAAGCATTACTCTTCGCCAGGTTTCGTAGCCCTCCCCCCTTCCAGCGGGGCCCCGCCAAAGCGAGGAGGGCATCAAGAAAATGGGTCCCACGAAACCGTTAATCTCTGTATGTGGGGAACTCCGTTAGCATAATTTTACTCAAACAACGAACGAAACATAAAACAACCTCTAAATACTAATTTTTCGAGATAAACAAATAACTGGAGATAATAATCACACTTTTGCGCAAACCTGCGGACTGTAGGTGCAGAAGTTCCTAAACGAATCCACGAAAACAAAAAACATCTTGTCCACGAAGCTGCATTCCTGAAATTACTTGAAATAACCCACACAAGGAGCTTCGGCCGAACGCAACCATGCACACAACTGGCGCCACTCTTGTAGTTCGGCGGCGGGCGAGCTCGGCGCATCTCGGTGCGATATCCCGCCGCGAACCCGCGGCGGCGGTACGGCGGCGGCCCCGAACACTAAGTGCACTTCGCACGCATCGGGTTCGGCGGCGGCGGCCCGTCCAGAGACCAGGTCACGGGGGCCCAATGGCCCTGGTGATATTGAAATCCCATTCGCCAAAGCAACAACAAACGACAGAAACCAGATGCCCCGAGTGGTTGATTTCGAAGAACGACGAGCGGCGCGCCCCCAGGTCAAGTGATGGCCACAACGAACGACGGCATGAACCTGGATGACTTACCCACTAGCGCCGCGCGGCGGACGAACGACGGGGCGAACCTGGCACAACTTACCTACTTGTAGCCGATTAAACCCCTCCAATGGAGGAGGAGGGAGGAGGGAGGAGAAGGAAGGAGGCAGGAGGGGCAGGGGGAGGAGGCAGGAGGGGGAGGCAGAAGGAACCGCCTGCACAGCCCAGCGCCTCCACCCGACGTGTTCTCCTATCAACCACCGCATCACGACTACAAGCTGCCCCCCTAACAATGACGATGGAGAGCCACATTTGGGCGATCCGGAATTGCCGACGCCGCCGCGCATCCGCGCCTGGCGCCCGGAACAAGGCAGAACGGCGAGCCCAAAGCAGACGGGCGCCAGCCGAAACGGCAGCACAAGACCTCCAGCAGACTGGGGAGACACCACGGCGGAGCCCTGCGGGAACGCGCCGATCTCTGTCCGAGCTGGAGTCCTAAAGGGGGCACGAACCCCTAATTGCCCGCCGAGCGACGTCGACGTCGAGCTATCCTTCCCGCGCCCGAGCACTGCAAAAAGGGGAGAGTAATCAGGCCACGGCTGCCACGGCCCTGCATGGACTGGTTGCTCTCGGCGGCTGACGTGCTTGCTCTGAGACTCTCATTATGCCCCGGTTTGCCGAAGAGAGGCTCGCCGCCGTCGCCGTCGCCGTCACCATCGCCATCGGCGTCGGCTTCGCAGTCTGTCGTCGTCTTCGTCTGTCGTCGGTCGTCGATATGCGGTAGTCGGCGTCGACGGACAAGCGGAAGCACCGTCGTCTACATATCCTAACTCCCCTCGCTCGCCTCACTCTCCTCCATATGTTCCAACTGCCCCCTCGTCCTTCCGACCCCTCCACCCTGTCTTACCCGTCCTCCTCCTCCTCCTCCTCCTCCTCCTCCTCCTCCTCCTCCTCTTCCTCTTCCCCCTCCTCCTCCTCCTCCTCCTCCTCCTCCTCCTCCCCCCTCCTCCTCCTCCTCCTCCTCCTCCTCCTCCATCTTTCCTCTTTCTCTCTCCCCACCCCCCCCATTCCTCCTCCTCCTCCCCTCCACCTCCTCCTCCTCCCTCCTCCTCCCCCTTCCTTCATTCCCTCCCTCCCTCCCTCCTTCCTTCCTGCCTTCCCTCCTTCCCTCCGTCCCTCCTTCTTTCCCTCCTTCCTTCCTTCCGTCCGTCCTCCCCTTCTTCCCTCCTTCTTTCTTTCTTTTTTTCCTTCCTTCCTTCCTTCCTTCCTTCCTTCCTTCCTTCCGCGCGGTTTCACGAGGCGCGCGGGCCGCCCGGCGCAGCCGTTTCGTTCCGCGGGCGGCCCCCACGCACCTGCCACGCGGCGACCCCCCCCCCCCCACGGCCGAGGGCATGGAGGGTGACGCCCGACGCTATTCGGGAGGCGCCCGCCCTCCATCCCCCCCGGGAGGGGCCCCTCCGGCGGCCCCCCCAGCACGAAGCTGGCGGAGTGCCGCGAGGGGGCAGCCCCGTTGTGAGCGGGTGGCTGCGCGGCGGGCGCTCAGCCCTTGAGCGGAGAGGCGCAGGAGGGCGCTGCAGAGGCCGGGGCGACAGGGCGGACCAGGCCAGGCCAAGCCAGGGCCAGAGGCAGAACAAGGGCCAAGGCGGGGCGGGGGCAAAGGGAGAGAGGAGGGCAGGGGGAAGGCGAGGGAGGGCGGCCCAGGGGGGGGACCAGGAGGTGGAAGGGAGGGCAGGGGGGGGGAGCGAGGGAGGGCAGCGAGGCCCAGGGGGCCAGGAGGGCGGAACCAGGCCAGGGGGCGGGCAATCGGGGCCCGTGGGCCTGACCGGGTCTGGGGATTACGCGCCTGCCCGCTCCAGACTGCTGCGTCTCCTGCAGCGCGGCCTCGAAGCGGCGCGCCTCCTGCGGCGACAGGCCGGCGGCTGGGGCGAGCGGCTGCCCGCGGGCCCCCGGGGGGGCGTTGCCACGGCTGGGGCTGCCGCCGGAGGACCCGCGCCGCTCCACCGCAGAAGCAGAGTAGGTGGGCTATCGTCTCCTGTGACTGGGCGCATGAGCGGCACAGCACGACGCCCCCCGCCGCATCGCACGCGAGCGAGACACAGGCGGGCCCACGCGCGCACCTCGGGGAGCGAGGCACTGCCGCGCTGTTCTTGAGCGCCGTGAGGTCCGCGCCCGCCCCACGCGAGAACGCCTCCTGCTGCGCCGGCCTTTCCGACCAGGACTGCGCCTGGCCACCCTGATGTGGTCGCGGTACAAGGCGCGGGCCCCCGCTCCCTTGCGCGGCCCCAGCGGGTCAGGCAGGCCCCAACTGTGCAGGAGCTGGCGGACGCGCTGCGTCCAGGAGCCTTCTGCCTGCGGTGGCTGCAATGCCGAAGACGCGCTTGCGCTTGGTCTCCGCGTATCGGGGGTCCCCCTGGGCCCGGCTGTACAACCGGATGGCGCGTTCATCCATGGTCTGACCGGGGAGTCCAACCCATGTGGCGCAGGAAGAGGGCCCGCGGGATGGGCCCGCGCACCCCAAGGACCCCCCGCGCCCAGCGGTCCTGGAGGCGGTTCAGGGTCGCTTCAAGCCCCTCCACGTGGACGCAAAGCTCAACCCTATGCGCTACCTTCGGGAGAGTGCTCACGGTGAGGCGCAGGCTGAGCTCGTGAAGCGCGAAGCCCAACTGGCCCATCGTCTGGGTGTGCCGCCGGCCTACCGCGAGCGCGCGTTGTTCCTCCTCTTCCTCCTCCTCCTCCTCCTCCTCCTCCTCCTCCTCCTCCTCCTCCTCCTCTTCCTCCTCCTCCTCCTCCTCCTCCTCCTCCTCCTCCTCCTCCTCCGCCTCCTCCTCCTCTTCCTCCTCCTCCTTCGCAGCAGCAGCAGCAGCAGCAGAAGCCCCTCTCACACCTTCACCCTCCGCGCCCTCCCGCGCGGCAGGCGCCGCGCCACCGCGACCGCCAGCGCGGCCGCCGTGGCGCCTGCCGCGTGGAAGGCCCGGAACGCGGCCGCTGGGCGCCTCCGGGTTCGCCGCCGCGCTGGCGGCGGCCAGGCCGGCGGCGCCCGCGCCGCCAGAGCTGTCCCCGCCGCCGAGGCGGGCGATGCGCGGGTCGGAGGCCATGTCGAGGTCCGGGGCCAAGAGCTGTAGGGGAGAGGAAGAGGAAGAGAGGAAGGAGGTCGGAGGTCGGAGGTCGGAGGTCGGAGGGAGGAGAAGGACGAGGAGGAGGAGGAGGAGGAGGAGGAGGAGGAGGAGGAGGAGGAGAAAGAGGAGGAGCAGGAGGAGGAATGAATGAAGGAATGGCCATCATGGTCCCATATGTCTCTGACTGCCGCACTACCTTGCTCTACGCTGTGCCACAATATACCGATCGGACGAAGACATGTTATACATCGGCTGGAGTTCGGCCTTATCGAGAAACGTGAAAACCAGGCCAACGAACCCACCGACCCAACACTCCGAACCTCCTACGCGGCCTATGAAACCCAGGAGGCCAGAGCAGGGCAGGGACACCGCCCCGTGTCCTTGCCTGCTCAGGCGAATGGGCGAAGGCTGGACCTGGAGACGCCCATAGAGAGAGTGACCACGCAAGCCCCCTTCTGCCTCCACGGGACGCCTCACAGGAAAAACCTTCACCCACGACGAACGCCCTCTCGCCTGCGGCTTGCATCGTAAATCCGAACAAAGCGGTCGAAGTAAACAATTGCACGATTAGGAGGAGGATGAGGAAAAGGAAAAGGAACAAAAAGCGGCAGCAACATCGGTGCCTGGACGATCGCCAGGTAACGGCAAAACCGGTCCCTCAAAATCCGCGCTTCTCGAGCGCTCAGCTGCATTCAGGAGTCGTCGAAGCCCTCCTGCAACGATAACGCTCCTCGCGAGTACGACTCTCCCCCAGCTCTTCGAGCACCTGCTGCACCCGCCTCGCGATGTCCGAGGTCGGCGCCATGCCATACTTCATGACCCCGCCGTTGTTCGTGAGAACTGTCTTGGCGTGTTCCCGGACCGTGCACGCCGGCGTCTGGCGCTGCACCTTGATCTCTAACTTCGCGTAGTCGCGAGCGCACGTCTTCTTCACTCGGCAGTATGGGATGTTGCGCTGCAGCGCGTAGTGGAGCGCTTTCAGCCCGTCCGCGTCTTTGATCTGCTTGTAGCCGTTCGAGTAGCGGTCAAAGTCCGTCTTGACATGTGCGCTGACTGCCGCCGTCTTCTCCTCGGCCGCGTTCGGGATGGCCAGGAAGATCGATGTCTGAGGAAGACCCAGCTGCGGCTGGCGATCCTCCTTGGCGATTCCAGCGGCTTGTTGAGCGTAATTGCGCCCTGCTTCCACGCCCGCCTGGACCATCTCGACAGCGGCCGGGCACGCGCGCACTTCCAAGTCCGAGACCGCGCGAGCCACTCGCGCTTGGCAGTCTGCTGCCAGCCCCAATTTCGCCGCGAGGGTGATCATATCCTTGAGTGTATTATGATTGTCCTTGCCGGTCTCCTTGAGCGCCTTGCCGAGCGGCCCCTCTCTGCGCTGTCGTTGCGCGAGAGGCGCGAGACCCAGATCGAGCGGCATGGCCCCCGGGCGCGCGCGGAGGCAGATGTGCGAAACGAGCCGCAAGTGCAGAAAGTAGCTCGAGCCCCGTTCGAGCTACGGAGAGGTGTACGTTGCAAGGTCCTGGGACATGCGTCCGAACATGAATGTGATACTACGTCAGGGGCATAACTTCATCTCACAGGGCGGACATGCTATAGCTACCTCATATTGTACTTGTTGTGGGGTGACCGCGTGATCATTTATGCATCGATACTGTATGAAAGCATGGCGCACATGAGAGACCACGCAACAACGCGTACATAATGCTGACGAACACCATGGGCACATAATACTCTGGATAAAGCGTTCGACGCGTACATCTCCATTATAACGTCTAGCGCTGGATTGGTGAACTCGGAGAGCCCGAGGAGTTCTGAAAGTCTCACCGCACGCGTGACAATGTGCTAGTACATCATAACACCTGCAAGTACGTTCATGTGGAGACTCTTGATCAGCACGCGCATCATCGGCGTGAGATCCAGGAGGGGGGGCCACCGCGCTGAGAAACATACTCCTGAGCTCCGGGACATCGATTTTCAGGAAGAGGACCAGCAAGTCCTTGTCTACTAAAAGCCTCTGGCATTGGCCCTCGTACCAATTCACGTACTCGGCCCCCTATTCCAAATCGGCGAGAGAATCCAAGTCCCCAACCATACGTTACACGAAAAAAATGGAAGACCCGTGCCTCGCGCGATCCAGCGGGTGCTGCTCAAGGGGCATATGGGGGGCCAGGAGGGTAGTGAGGACTTGCTCGTTTCTGTCGGGGGCCCTGAACATTGCCTGGTACCACCGCAGACGCTGAATCCTGGGCCCCAACGACACTGGTGCCAGTCGGAGCAGCTGTAAAATGCTAGCAGGCGAGAGGCTGGTCTTCTTCTGGGCGCCGTCGGCGAGGGTGGTCGTCACCGTACCTGCGCCCAGTAGTAATTTCCGACAGTACCATATCTGAGTCTCGTCGAGCTTGCCCTCATCATCCTGACTGAATTGTAGGCCCCGGAAGCACGACATCAGACAATAAACACGCATCATGCGAAAGAGAACCAACTTAAATTCACGACAGACCAATGGGGGGAGGAGGAGCAGGAAGAGCAGTACAGCACACGTACATTGGACATGGCTCGCCACCATGGGTGACTACATTGCGTTGTCGTCCAATGTTGAGTGCGCTGAGAGCTCGTGCGCGGTGGGTGATGTGTATGCCGCGGCAAGCGGGCGCGACGATCACCTCATGATTTGTACGTGGGTCAAGATGCGACCTACTTGTCCAGGATCGACAGTGCGGCGCCGAGGGGCTTTGTCGACAGGCGTGGCCCAGAAGACCCAGCGAAAACACATCGTTTCAGGCAGCTGCTCGCTGAATTGCCGCCAGCTCCATTCAACGTTGACCCCGCGTCGGATTGTTGTATCAGGCAGTCTGGAAATCAAGATGCGGATGTGAAAACTTCCCCAAAGCCCAATCATGCGAAAGGCAACGCGGCGAGGAGTCAAAGACACGTTGGATATTGTAGTGCGGAAATGTGCGCTTAGCAAACGTGTTCGGTCGATGGGACAGGAGACGGTGCATCTGCTTGACGAGACTTTGTGCCATGCCGCATTCTGGGCATGGGCCGCGACGGCGGGTGGGGTACCTTCCACGCTGGTAGATTATAGGAGATCGCGTCGGGATGTTTGTCTCAACCAAAGTCTCTGCGGCGCGGCCATCGACGAACATTCCATGGAATCCAGACAGGCGCTTGACAAGGATGCCGCGGAATTAGCTGAGCGGACGCGGCTTAACTTGGAGAGTGCATCGGCCGATGTGTCGACACGGCGCAAATTCACTGTGCTAAAGCCTCCCTAGGAGCCATGTGAAGAAGGCAGACGGTGCAGTCACACTGTCAGCCTGCGAGGCAAAGCAAGAGATAGCCGAGCAGTTTGCTAAGTTGCTGCGGGGGGTGAAAATCACGATGCGCGGTTTGGTGGAGAAGAAACGGGCCGACAATCTCGTTGATATAGATCTCTCTGTTGATACGATAGACGTCGGTCTTGTCCCGGACGTCTCTGATGTTGCATGCATTTTTACGCACCTGAGGCCATTGGTCGGGATATCCGAAAGTAGCAACGGGTCCTAATTGTTCAAAGTAGCTCCTCTTGAGCGCGCAAGTTCGTTGCACCCATTCGCGTTTAAGTCCGTTGTGTCCCTGCAGCCGCCATTGCGGTGGAAAGGGGGGCATGTCCTTGAAATTTACACAGGCAAGGGGGCAATGACCGAGATCCTGTCTTACGGGGACATGACGACTTATGAGGCTGCGTCGAAAACGCTGCCCCTCCACATGCGGTCTCGCGGGGTGCCCGCCCTTGCCGCGACCAGGTCTGCCTTGCAGCTTGGTGGCGGGCTCAACGGAGTCTGCCCATGTGTACATGGTTGCGTATATGGACGGTGCTCGTGCTAGGAAGCCTTCCTTCGGTGCTTTGTTTGTTGAATTGCAGACTGCAGTTACCAGCGTTGTGAAGAATATTGCTTTTCCTGCGCCGACGGCGTCCATGGACGCATTTGTCGCGCGCCTGTTGGCCTCCAGGCTTTCTGCCTAGGACGCCGCGAAAATTTCCGAGGGCCAGTGCGCCTATGAGCATTGGGCCGCTAGAGGAGGCACGAAGCAGTATCTCAAGATGCCGAGCAAGCTGCGCAGACCACCCTGGTTTACGATTGAAGGCGCCACGGGCTGCGTGCAGATTGAGTGAGGGAGGTCTTGCAGGCACTGCTCTCGGGAAAATTGTTTTCATACTCTTCGCCTTCAGCCGTGTGACTCACGCTGTGGAGCTGCGCCTCGCCGCTGCAAAACTGCTCCTCGAACTCCCCGCGGAGCCGTGGATCGCCGGTGTCGGCGCTGAGCGCCGGAGGGCGAGCGGCGCCAGGAGTCGGTGCACTTTGGCGCGGCAGGGCATGTGGACGATGCTGTCCAGCCGTTGTTCGGTCAGGCAAGTGAGATTGTTGCTAACAGGGGGAAGTGCGCGGCAATTTCGAGCACGCTTTCCCCACGTATGGGTGTATCATCAGTTTCAGACGAGGTAAGACAGAAGCCCCCTTCAGCTTCGCGGGCCCCAGGTCCGTTGAAGTACAGCGGCAGCTTTTCACTGACCGCGGGGGCGTCATTCACTTTGACGCTCGCCGGGTGCAGCGCCAGTTGATCACCACGGCCCAGTATACGTAAGCATATTGGTAGGCTCACTTGTTCCACGGACTCTATGCACCCAAACATCACGGCCAAAATCGGTTCTCTGAAAGGCGTCTTCCAATGCGTTACACCGTGCTGCAACGGAACTCTGTCCCCACGTTGAAACACGGCTTGCCCCACGGTCTTCACCGAGTACATGGCCACGGTTGCGCACCGCTGAGCTGATGGGAGTCCACACCGGTGTGATGCAAGTATACTCGTCCGTGTTGAAAGAAGATTCTGGGGGGAAAACAAACCGACCTCGCTTTTGACCACCCTCGCTCCCAAGAGATACCAAAGGATGCCAAACTGCAGCCTGTACTGGTCAGGCCGCTTGACGAGGAGGCGCGTGGTATGGCTTGGTTTTG